TATATATATATATATATATATACAAGAAAATACATACTCTGTGCAAAAACAAATATTTGCTGCAATAGTTGGCATGACAGTACGAACAGCAAGATATTATTCATCTTGAAAATCAGAGATCAAAGAGAGAATAAATTAAAACATAGTATACACTCTTGTCAACGAAACTGATTCACAACAAATAAAACACAAAATTCAACTTACGAGATTTATATATATATGTACACAAATGCATCAGCGCGTTGCGAGAAGCAGTACATTTCCGTTTTTCGTAAGTTTCAGGGGAACATATTAACTTGTGCATCCAGCCGGACGAAATATAATACATGACCTTTCATGGCACGCTAAAAACGACACTCGATGGGCTTTCCAGAATTACGTGTAAAATATCTGGTACTACGTAAAAAAAAAATAGACAAGCACACACACGAATTGCTTTCGATCATAATTATATATAATAATCCATAGCATGTGTGCACCAGTAATAGTGCTCAGCGATCTTCCCAGAGGATTGAAACATTTATTTGACGCAGAGAGAAGGTCATCTCAATTTCATTGATAATTAAACAATGAAGGTCAATAAATAGGAGTTACTGGTACGAGCAGAATCACGCATCGCTAATCTCATTCAATATTATGTATTAAAATACATTGTTATAAAAAAATATTGTATCACAAATGGTGATATAACAATGTCTTATCTGATAAAAGGATTGTTACATGAGTGATGGATGTTATAACACAGAATCATTATAAATGAGTCACAAAAAACTAATATATAGTCTATTTTAGCATTAAAATTTATTAAGCTGAATTTATTAAACTGTTTAGTCTTTAAAAAAATTCAACTTGATAAAAATAAAAAAAAATACATTAAAATCATTTATCAATCATATGATAAAATTATTCAAATTGTGTAAAGTTGTAATAGGAATCGGGAAAATTTGTTGAAATACTCGAGGAATATAATCATCTTCCTTTTCGCTTCACGCTTACATGTTAGAATTAATCAGAACGCTAATAAATTAATCAAAGCGAATTAATGATTATTGAGGAAAAAAAATGATTTTTCTATTTGATCTTCATATAATTTATTTTTATAAATTAATGAAATAAAATATACTGAACAATCATAGATACCACCGCTTAAATTCATCCCGGAACAATATATAATAATAGAGAAAAATACAAAAATAATATAAATCTCTTTCTTGATAACCTTTCAATTGTAAATTGGTATGCTTAAATTATGCTGCTTTCATATTTATAAAGAATTTAACTTATTTCTCGTAGCAAGCCTATATTAGCAAGTTAGCGCGACCACATGTAAAAATACGTACTTTGCATATATGGTAAATTCTTTTTAATGGCACTTGTCAAATACTTGGCAAGAGGCACGGAACTAGATATCGTATCAAGCAGTGAATCTATTTTATTACGGCTGTACTTGTCATAAAACGGTGATCTCAAAATGTACAATAGTAAACTCAATCTTCGACGCACGAGTTCTTCTTCTTCCTCTTTACTTAATAATGTTTTTTGGGCGCAACGATTGAAGACATTTAAACTGCACAAACAATAACAATTTGATTACATAAAAAAATTACAATTTATCAATTACGTATAATAGTTCAATATGCTGTGTACCTGGCTATATCGATAATAAGTGATAATATCCACGGTGGCCAACGATTTTGGCTAGTAATGTACATACACCCTAGATGAAGCAGTGGCTTTGTCACATAAAGACTCTAGAAATTAAAAAAATATTTGGTTACCTATCTTTTTTTTACATTAGTATATTATAAGCGAAATCCACATATGTATAGTATGCAATGTCAGCATTGCATAATGCAATTGGATTGTGCAATGCTGACATGCCTGGGCAATGCTGACATTGTACAGCAACTTCATCCGTGACATATATTTTGAAAACTCCATATCAATTGAGATACTTTTTTTATTAAAAAACTTATCATTAATCACATGACAGTATTATATTTTTTAACTGACCTCAGCTAGTTTAAGATTCCTGTCAGATTCCTTATTTTTAGTTAGATTCTCGTTCTCGTCCGTAATAGAAGACAAAGCTTTCCACGTTCGTAATTCTATAGGAGTCGAATACTTTACACTTCTAACAACAGTGCCTGATCTTTTTAGCATAAAGCCTTCCTTTAATTGCACGTTGTCGATTTTATTGAATTTCTCTCTGTTAAGAGGTGGTGTCGCTGGGCTTTTCGTTACACGTTCCTTATATACATAAATTAATAATAGTCGCAATACAGACCTAGGAAAAATAAATGTTGATCAACAAGAGACTTGATGAATTTTGTCATCTGCATTATACTGAATTAGCACACATTAAAGGCTGGTTTATATAAACTATCTAAATGTAGAGATATAATATAATTAATTTTGAAATGAAATAATATTAGTGAATAAAAATTTCAAATTTTGTTAAATGATGTGACAATATCATTATTGGAACTTTTTTAAATATTTATACGTTTTTATATTTAACTTTACTAATTTCATGACAACTCAATTTTAATAAGTAATATTATAAGATCAGTTTTTCTAGAGTTGAATTAATATACATTCTTGGAACTCAAAATAAAATATATGTAATTTGATATTTGGCTAAAGTGAAAAAATAGTTTCAGTGCAGTCTAGTGTCTAGTACAGAAATAAAAAAACAGATCTAGTTCCATCAATTAAGGGCCAGTTCTACTTTTTGGTAAATTTTATCCATTAGGTAAATCTGGCAATATACATGATTGGGTAATTTTGTTACTTACCTAATGAATAAAATTTTACTGAGAGGTAGAACTGGTCCTACAAGTTTAATTTCAGTTTAATTTGCTGTTTATCTCTTTTTAATGTCCTAGAATTAGAAAAAAATCAAGCATTGAACTGAGATTAAAGTTAATTTTATATTGATGGAATCAGGCTTTGTATATTTCTATCAATTTAGCTTAATTTTAATCTTGGTTTAACTTTGTATCTTTTTTCAGTTTTAAGAATCAGAAAAAAGACAAAGACCGGTATTTATAGTCAGATTTTATATTTAAGACCGTCTTAAGTACAATTTTAAGAAGACACAAACCAAAAGGCCACATTACGACTTAAGACATTACTTAAGTCTTAAAAGAACCGACTATGAATACTGGCCAAAGAATAAGTAAAATAAGATTTAAATTTGTCACAGTAGAAATGAAGATAACTGTAATACAAGTGACTGAATTCGCTATTAAATTATCGACAAAATGAAAGAATGGCCCAATACTTACTTAAATAATTGTATAATTACGATTATTAACCATTTTCCTTTTGGCCCCCATAATTTCTTAGCTGACACCTCGAGAAAGGTCTCAGTGTACTCCACCACAGTTAGCCAAATTTTAATTTTTGAGTCATACTGAGGTATTTTTAAGTGCTGGCGTTTGCTGCTGTACATAAGTAAATCGTTGCAGAGCACTATCAGATTTGGCATGGAATAAATCAATTCCACGGCCAAGGTTGAATTGCGCAATTGTCCTGCAAAGAATATATATTTAATGACATATACATGGTTAACAATAAAATTCGACGGCTCGTTTTCTAACCAAAACTGAAATACGATAAACATCTGACAGTAGCCTCGATATCTGTCAATAATTGCGGATTCGCTACGACCCAATTCTTGTACGATGTCAACAGGTTGTTTAACTTAGAATTAACACAGTTTGCCATCTCGTTATTACGTTATTTTAGATTTTTTACAGCGAAAAATAGACATTAAATGTTTAATTCTGCTTATCTCATTATAAGAAAGTAAATTATTGCATTGAACACTGGAATTGTGCCATGTTTGATTCCGAAGGTCGAACTCAATTTCGATTTTAAATTCGATTTTCTTCGTCCAATACGAATCGCTGATTTTGAACGAAATCGATCTCTATTTTGTAAACTTTTCTAAAGGCTTATCCATAAATTGCGTTCAACGAACTTATGCTCATTTTCACCAACGTAGATTAATTTTAATCTTGGTTCAACTTACTCTTCATCTTTTTCTAATTCTAAAGATTAGAAAAAGTCGAAGAATAAGTTGAATCAAGATTAAAATTAATTTACTTTGGAAATGAGTTTTAACAGTTGAGTGAATGTTGCTATTCTTCCAGATCTAAAATGTTGATTGGATGATCTAAAAGAATATTCGCTGAACGCAGCCATTTAGAGAAACTAACCAATGAAATATTCAGTGTAAAGAATTGCTAAAAGATGAAAAGAAAGAATCGAAGGACTGAAAGCGTCTTAAATTCCCTCTTTACCTGAAGGGAAAAAACAAAGTAAAAAAACAAAGTAAACATGTTATATGAAATTTATTAAATCCCATTGACATAACAATAACAATTATATGTTCATCTGTAGGATAAAATGAATATATATTCGAATATTGGAGACAGAGAGAGAGAGAGAGAGAGAGAGAGAGAGAGAGAGAGAGTAAAAATTCTGAGTGCCGAAAGTGCAAGCACGAACAGATTTATCAGTCTTGTAAATGGCAGATTGTTCACGTCGCTAATTGGTCAATTCTAACTTCCTGGTTAATTTAATAGGAAAAAAACTACAAAATATTTAATTACGATTAATTAAAAAATTACTATCAAATGAATGATTTCATAAATTTCTTTATGAACTATTTCATTACTTGTATTTTATATGAAGATTTTTAAAATGCAATTAAAAAGAGTTCTACAGTGATCGTATCAATTAATCAGCTATATTGATTAATTTCACACAGTACAAGAATAACTGATTAAATTAAAATTATCTTTTTAATTATATTTCAAAAATCTTAAATTCATACGAAATACAACTTACAAGAAAATAGTTGAAGAAATAGTTCATTGTTTAATTAATTTCATACGAATAAACTTGATATTGTTGACTATTTACACATAAATTTAAAAATTTGATTTAAATTATCCAAATGATTATAAAATCCTTTCAATTATATACTTTAAAACTCTTTATACACAAAATACAATTAATTTCAAAAACTTTGTTTACTTTATATCAATTGATATGCATAAAATAAAATTATAATTAATTAAAATATTCTAGATGACTATGTCAAACTTTTTAAATTATATATTTTTCCAAAATTCTCATTATTTACTTTTTAATTACATCTTAAAAATCTTTATACAAACGATTTCATAAAGCGTTTAAGAATGAAAACAATTGTCGACGAAGTTCATACGAATACGGTGAAATTATATTTTCGAACGCGCATCCCTGGCCTGAAGTCCCGACGGCATTGGACGACGACATCATCGGCCGGTTGGCCGCCCTGAGCGATGTGATCGGCGGTGGTGCACAACACACAGTGGCCCGGTGACAGGGCGCGCGATGTGCGCGCGTGTGTATGTGTGTGTGTGTGTGTGTGTGTATATATAATATATATATATGTGGCGCGCACCAATATACATGCGTGTGATGCGATGCGTCGAAAAGCGGTCATATAAATAAACAGGGAGCCTGCGAACGATCAGCACTCGCTCGGCCTGTCACGGTCTTGGTCGGTTGGACTTGACGGACAGTCCGGAGTGACATAGACGGCTGCTGCGGCGTTGCTCCCCGACTACCCCGCGCCCCTTTGGTGTCCTTCAACCAAAGATGTCATCGCCTACACAAGTGGTAAGAAGATGTGGTTGCGATAGACAGCGATAAGACAGTTTACGCTGATAAAAGCGGACGTTTATCGTCACCCTCTTTCCGTAAACATTCGTTAGTTTTATTTTATTTTATTTTATTTTATTATTATTTATTTTGTATTAAATTGAAATCGTCTCAATTGCCGCTTTAGTCGCACTGTCGCCGTTCGATTTTAAATCGAGAGAAACTGCTGTTGTTGCTGTTTTTTGTTTTCCCCTTTTGTATGAATCATGTGTTCGTTATTCTCTGCCCCTTTGTTAGAGCGCGAGCGGCATATTCGCGTAAAAATAGAATTTATTGAATTAATCCAATGAGTAACTACTCGCGTAGTGGTTGAAACTGAAAGATAAATATTCAATTTATATATACTTATAACGTCGTGACATGTATATACGTCAAAAGTGTATTATTTATACGCGGAAAAATGATCGGAGCATTGTCACAGACAATAACTGTATTTTATAGAAAGAATTATTTTAAGAGAAGTTGTCTAATTTTTAGAATATATAATACTCGCGATTTTCCGAATGAATTGTAGACACGCGGTTACAATTATGTTAATTAAAACGATTTGCATTCTTCTTGGGAAGCAAAAACAGAGGACTTCGCATCGTTTTGTGTCCGTACAAAGATTGGATAAAAATAGAGATAATTATTTATAATTTAAATACATTTCGTATTTACATTTCACAATAAACATTTTTTTGTACCGATATAAAAATTTTATTTTTAATTAGTTGCACTGAAAACAAATTCATATAATTTTACATGGAAATTACATGTTTATGACTGGAAAATTATTTAAGTATGATTGGAAATTTACTGAAAATCACAAAATATAAACATATTTATAACGTTTATATAAATTGTAGATAATTACATACACACTGAAAAAAATTCATGTAATTCCATATAAAATTACATAAATTTTTTTCAATAGGTATGTAATTATCTACAATTTATATAAGCATTATAAATATGTTTATATTTTGCAATTGAAATATATATGATAATTAAGTATAAGTGATACAGTATTAATATATATAATAAAATTATTTTTTAATAATTTTGCATTATTTTGTAAACTTTTAATTAAAACTTCCTGTTTTGTAAATTAAATTCCTTTCCAATGTTTTAAGTAACCGGATAGCTAAATTACTAATCATCAAATCACAACATGTAACATTAATGAATCACAAAATACAAACAGGAATTACAAAGTACAAACAGTCAGAACCCTGAATTTCCGCGTTATGTATATCCTGTTGGAAATATCTTAAAGATCAATCCAATGCAATCGTTGCAATAGAGTGCTATTAGAGAAAACTACCATATTGGCATAAAGTGACTACTCTATATTAAAGACCATTGTGCATCCTGATGGTACCAGTATTAGATAATATACTATCTTGTAACTGGCTGGATTAGGTCGATGATTAGGCCTCAGTGACTGCGGATAAAATCTCATTCAAACATGCACTATCATTAAATAGGTTTCATGGATGAAGAGCAGCTTATCAAGAAACATTTTGTTGAATATTTGAATATTTTGGTAATAATTAATATATGTAATTATTTTTTTCTTTAAAAAATTAATATGCTTTAAATGTTAATAAATATGAAGAATTTTACAATAATCTCGTATTGAGTTGCTGTTAATAATAATAATGTAATTATAAATTAAAAATTAATTTGTGATCGTCATTTATTTAAACAAATTAAAAAAAATAGAATTAAAGAATCTCCTGTCAGTAGACAGTATAAGTTTTATTCTATTCCATAAAATGAGCGTGTTTGCTTGATTAGATTGTTTAATTGAAATATCAAATGATAAGTTAATGATAATTAAAGATATTTATAATCTACAATGTTTTTGAAATCTTTCATTAATTATTAAACTGTGTTTTTACGTACTTAGAGAGATAATTATTTTAAAATAGCTGCTTCTTAATGAAAATAGGCAACTTAGTGAATTTAATGCGGTTAAAATTGAATTATGAATAATTTATTGGAATTTTTTGTTCTCTAATTTTTCTGTTTTTCTTACTTTATACGCATAAGTCTCAGAAAAAAATAATTGATCTATTAAAATTATATAAATACATTTTTTATCATTACAATGTAATTCTGCATATCGATACGAGTTTTTGCACTAAATAATAAAATGATATTTACATTTCAGATAAAAAGCGTTGGGCCAAAATTGGTACCGTTCTTTAAAAGCGTATCCGTATATTTTGTATTACTTGCTGAACAGCCATCTCTATTAACGGCATGTTTTAAATGTTTACCGATAATAAGTCTTATTATTTTTGTTCTGTTGCACGGAATTAGTTTATCTAAAGAGTAAGTAAAAAGTGCTTATATAGATTTAATGATGAGCTGGATGATTTTATTTCGTGGTAATCTTTTTGCTTCAGCGTTGCTAACGTAATACTCATCTCTTTGCAGATATGCCTTCTCCAGGCGTATATTAACGGGATTAGTGTTTAGTTGCATAGGTGACGCACTATTAGTGTGGCCTAATTGCTTCACTGCAGGGATGTGTATGTTTGCTATTGCGCAAATTATGTATATATTTGCATTTGGATTCAAACCCCTTAATTTAACACTTGGAGTATTACTGTATACATCTTGTTCAATTGGTAAGATTTATGAACACGACTTGCGAATATGTTTTTAACCAATTAGATATTAATGTTCATTGATCGCTATCTATCATTAATTAATTGATTAATGTACTGCTTTCAGTTATATATGCTTTGATGCCGGGATTAAATGGGATTTTAGCAATAGGAGTGCCAATTTATACAGTATTACTTACCACTATGGCATGGAGAGCCATATCAAGAGTACAGTTCTTCGGGGTAAATTCATATAATAATATAGAAACTACAGAAACAATTAACTTTATATCTGTTATCTCTATCCCTTTAAATATGTAACACTTACTTCTCTAATAATAAATTATCACTTATCTAAAAACTTTGCCACAAGTAGCATTAGTTTTTATATATCAATGCAATATAGAGAATTAATAATAATCATATTTTATCCATTAGGAATTGTGGACGTGGACTAAGTTATGCAGTTGCATTGGAAGTATTTGCTTTGTCATATCTGACACTTTGCTCGGATTTCATTATTTCCATAGTCCATTACCTTATTCTCAGGTATGTACATTAAGGCTTTTGTTCATTGCGAGTACTGAAAATCTATAATATACGTAATGTATAACAAATTTTTTGTACTTGTAATGAATAAAATATTTCAAAACCATATTATTGAATAACGGAACACAGCCTTACATTCACATAGTGCTTCTGAAAAATAGTCTTGATAACGATATAATAATTTTATGAAAGATATAATAATGTTCGATTTTTTTTTACTTCCCAGGTATCCATTATGTTGACATACTATGCAGCACAATTAGGTATAGCATTAAGTGCAGTAGATTCTAAAAATAATAGTAATAACAGAATATCTGCCAATAAAGGCTGAAATATTTATCCTTTATCTGGAGATGTAAAACTTAGGCAGATGTAAAACAGGGATGTTTCTCAACGTCTGCTTTAAACTATGTGCATAATTCCAGTAGGAAATTGTTGTGATAATCATCTTTGACAAGTTGAATATTTCAAAGTTATATTATTGAATAAGGAGATTCGGACGAGTTTCAGTGATAGGATGTTGTACCTTTTGACTGTAGAAATAGTCTTATATTTCTTTTTTGTATTATTAATGATATGCAAAGAAATCTTATAGAGATTTCGTACTAGCTTTGTGGTGTCCTATTTTTTGTATATATATATATAAGAAAGAATTAAAAAAATATTATACTGTTAAATATAAATGTAATAGAAGAATAGAATATTAGTATTCTTAAAGAAATAATTTCTTTACGAAAATTTCGTTGTTTTTATTAAAACAATTACGTTGTTATAATGTGTTATAATGTGTCTCTGAAGATCAAGAATTTTTTAATGTAAAAGAAAATATATTATAGTGTTGTATATATGTATAGCGTTTCTTATGCATAAAAATCGCATTTGAATTATATAAAACTGATTATTTTATATATATATTTGGGCCAAAATGCAATAGCTTGTCCGCGATTCATTGCAAATGGCGAACATATTAAATAATACTTTTGTAGAAAGTTATTATTGTATATATATGTTATATATGATCTATATTTGTTAGTGTATTATTATCATTCATCAATGTAAATTATCATCTTACAGAGAACAAGTTGCAATATAGGTGTAAATTGTATCATAGATAAATATTTCTTACGTCAATCTATATATGTTACATTGTATATCATGTTACACATATGTTGTGTGTTTATTATAACATGAATCGTAACATGAATCGTTAACACTGCCATTTTTGTTGGCAAAATAAAAACTAAATGATGACTTTACAACGGGTTCTCAATTGAATGTCTAAATTAAATTTTTCAATAATTTCATAGTAAAAATATAATATTTATAAAACATAGATATAAAATTACTTTTCATGAATTAAATTTTTAAATAGAACGCATTTTTCAGTTTAATTAAAATATTTTGCTAATTTATTTTATGTTGCATATATTGATTGTTATTTTTTTTTATTTAAATGTCTATCTATATTTTAATATAAAATTTTATTATGTTTTTTTTGAAATGTCCTTTATAAAATTAGAGATATTAAAACTCATTTATAACATTTTTTTATTTACCAAGAGTACTGTTTATCCTATTTATACTCTAGCGGTACTACAAGAATTTTCATTTTCTCTTTTTGTTACAAAAATATAAGCATCTTTTTTTAAAAAAAGTTACAAACAAGTTATCCAAAATATATTTTCAATGTGTTCTTGGAAGAAACAAAAATAGGATAAAAATATTGTATGTAATCTTTCATTAATGTATACTGCAATATATATATATATATATTGCATTATATAGTATCATTTATATAGATGATTTAAGATTTTAACGAGGACACATGGCATGTCTACCTCCATCTACAGGTAATGTTGCTCCTGTTATGAAACTAGCCTCGTCGCTCGCTAGAAATGCAATAGTCTTTGCGACTTCTGAAACGTTGCCCGTTCTTCCTAGAGCATGCGTCTGTTTACCGCGCTCGAAAAAGTTTTTAAGCTGATCTTTGTCCATTCCACTGGTTTCATGCAGCTTTGTTGCTATAACGCCAGGATTTATGGCATTCACACGTATCTAGTATATTAAAAAAATTTTTAAATAATGCCAATAATAATTAAAAATGATATTAAATTAAGAAAAGGAAATAGTCATGTTTACACATACCTGTTTTGATGCCAAATCTAAAGCAACGCAACGCGTAAATTGATCCAGGGCCGCCTTACTCATACAATATGCCAGACAACCTGGGAAAGATCGTAATCCGTTTACGCTAGAGATATTTACAATGTTGCCCTTCGTCTTGATTAAATGTGGCACTGCCAGCATTGTTAATTGATATATCGAACGAACATTTATGTTGAAAATCCTGAAAATACATGTTTTATAATATCATACCGGCATGTTATCAAAGTGGAATACAGTTTATCAATACTGATAAAAGTTTTTATATATTATCTGCTTATTATCACGTACTTGTCGTACTCTTCCAAGCTTGTGGTCTCTATACTACCGTTTGCCAAAATTCCGGCGCTGTTAATTAAAACATCTAATTTGCCATAATGCTTGATCGTCGAATCGATAATATTTTTCACATCATTCTCATTAGTTAATTCTCCCGTTACGATGAATGGCTTGGATTGTCCACATTCACATTGTTTAGCTACCTTCTCTAAATTGTCCTTGTTACGTCCACTTATCGACAATGATGCCCCAAACTGAGATAAGTGAATAGCTGTTGCAGCACCTATTCCTGAACTAGCCCCTGTTATTAAGACGACTTTTCCCACGAAAGACATCTAAAATAAATAAATGTTCTTCACTGTTGCATTATATGTCATGCACTACGTATATTTTATATAATCTAAGACAATAATATTGCAAATTCAGATTCTATCAATAGAATTTAATTTGAAATTTCTTGATCTACTTCTTAGAACTAAAAAAAGATAAAAAGTTAAACGAGAGATAAATTGAAGTTAATCATATCATTGATGTAAATGGATATTAATGTTATTATTAATAATAAGTATTTGTATAATTTGCAAACATAACAAATCAACAGAAATATTTTTTTTGAAATCGATTAGCCCAGCAAACAAGAATGGATTGAAATGGATTTAGATTTTCAGAAATATTGATTCACGAATGTTAAAATGAATGCTTTTTAATCCTAAATGCATTTTTATTCATTAGGAATTGCATGGAGCATATCTCTATGCCTTTCAATCTAAAAATAATATTAGCTTTTTTTTTTGCATTGTGAATACTGTTCAATTCAGAATTTTGAATAGGAAAATTTTGAATAGGAAGTTTTTTTTAATCCAATTGCTTTCAAGTTTGGGTTTGAAACGGATAATCGGCATACAGTTTTCTTTCCTACTTATCTTTTTTCTTTCAAAAATCTCCTCCAGCAAACGAGAATGGATTAAAATGGATTGAAATTTTTATCTAATCGAATGCATATTTTAAGTAGCGAATACTTTTTAATTGGATTCAATTAGATTCAATTGGATGGAATTGGATTGAAAAACTGCATTTTCTATTCAAGATTTTGAATTAAACAATATTTATAATGTATTTATGTTGCACAGAAAAAGCTAATATTATTTTTAGATTGAAAGGCAATAGAGATATGTTGCAATTTCTATAAATGAATAAAAATGGAAAGATTGAAAAGCATTCATTTTAACATTCATGAATCAATATTTTTGAAAATTTCAATTTATTTCAATCCATTCTCGTTTGCTGGGAAATTATGTAAAACGATAATGTTTAATAATCTGGATAGTTACTCTGATAATATGATAGCGAATAAAATGTCCACAAAAGTCAAGCGATAAAACTGTGAGAGCAAGATACAAATCGCGTAACACAGTGGTAAACAGATACGATATACCACGGTATATATAGTATGTCAGTACGATAAATGAGTTGGCACTTTGTGTACTTGTACGTTCTGTTCCATTCTTCTAAGATGCATTCGTTTCACGCATGATGTGTAATATATCATTTCCTTGTTTAATATTCGGTGAATAACAAGGATAAATAATGTATGTGCGTATGTGAAACGGAATTTATTCAATATAGGGCCAGTTTCACCAATCAAGCTTAATCGTGATTAACTGTCAACCACAATTGGTCGAGTCTACTAAACAGCAAACGCGATTGATTAGTCAACGACCAATTAAATTAACTGGCATTGATGAAATTGGCTCATAATTTTTTATTGCTGCACTTTCTGAACTGCACACAGTACAATAAGTTGAAATAAAATAAATATACATTTATCTCACTTCAACTTATTGCACCGTGTGCAATTCAGAGAGTGCAGCAATAAGAAACATATCTATAGATATAATTTTAGAACATTGCGAAAATGGATTATAATTTTTTTAAAATCGCAAATGAAAAATAGTACTTTATATTATTTAAAA